GGAGCCGGTGACAGCTACACCACAGCCAATTCCGGCGATAATATTCCTAAAACGGCGTCGTCTTCCAGCGTTTACGAAATCCTTCTTCTCATTCAATCCGATGACCTCACTTTGAAAGTTCAGGCAGCTAGGGAAATTCGGCGCCTCACGAAGACCTCCAAACGTTACCGCCGTTATTTCTCTAACGCCGTGAAATCACTAGTTCATATGCTCCATTCTAACTCATTTGAGTCTAAGGAAGCCGCTTTACTTGCCCTCCTCAATCTCGCTGTTAAGGATGAAAGGTACTTCTCATGAATTCTCAATTCTATTGCAAACTGGAATTGGTTGGTCTCCTTAAATATGCGGTGATAATTTGGCTGTTCTAATGTTTTCTTATTTTTAGACGTTGAATTGCCCTGTTGCTCGTTGTTTCTCTAAGTGCAATTTTCCCTCGGATTCAGTGTATTGGAGTTTGAAGATGATGCTTTTCTTTTTCTGTTTTTGCTTTTTTCATAATCATTCATCTTATATTTACTGTTTTCTTTTTCCCGCTCTGTCTAATTGTTACAAAAATGGAAGCAAGATAAGAATTTCTGGTGTCCAGCTAAGTTCTAAACTAAAAGAGTTTAAAGAAAAATTGAGCTTATTTCAAGTGGTAGAAATCAGGTTATAATATTGTTTGTTACTGCCTTCAAAATAATTTCAATTTTTCAGAAGATAAGCACTTCTAGAGCTTAATGGATAGTTGAAGTTAGGAATTTTAGTGATTCTTATGTTATTTGGACCAAGTGTTCAACATGATCCATGATGCAATGGTGCTTCTGTCTCCAATTCTTGAAGTAGAAATTTCGTTTGCATAAAGAATAAGCTACTTGTGCTATTTTGGATAATCTGGAATAAGTATATCGACGAGTTGAATAGTTTCAGACTTTTGATTTGATCATTAGTGATTATAATACTGGCTATTTCTGATGTGAATATTAAAGTTGACAAAAGTTGAAGGCATATATACCCGAAATGCTTTTTAGTTGACCCCTTTAGGAAATTCTACTCTTTGTAAAACATATTCTAATGTCCTGGTTGCTGCTATTTTAATAGCAATAACGCGTTGAAGAATTTTGTTGTGCTGGTGTACAGATTATTCAAAGGAATATGTAGTTCTTTTTTATGATTTTTATTTCAGAAAAACTGAAAAATAATGTTGGAATTGATGTATCAATAAAATATGTTGACTGCCCTGGATCCCACTATTCTTTTTGTGTATACAAATCATTTGAGTAATTTACTGGCCTGTCAAATGCTAGTGAATTCTCAATCCTGTTGCAAACTGGATATAGTTGGCCCATTGGAGCTTCCTGAATTATGAAAGGGTTGATAATTATCAACTTTTTGCTCATGAATTCACCGTGCCAATTTTGGGCTGTTTTTAATGTTTTTCCTATTAGCTTTTTAGACGTCAAAACACTCTGTTGCTCCACATTTCCACAAGTGCATATTTCCCTCAGGTTCGGAGTATTGGAGTGTGAAGATGGTGTTTCTTCTTCTGATTTTTCTTTTTCATGATCACTCATCTTATATTTACTGTTTTCTTTTCCCCGCTCTGTCTTATTGCTGCAAAATGTAAGCAGGAGTAAAATTTCTAGTGTCAAACTCAGTTCCAACTAAAAGACTAAAGAGTCACAAAAACAAGAGCTTATTTCAATTGGTAGAAATCACATTTGAATATTGTTGGTTAATGCCTTCAAAATAGTTTCAGATTCCAGTTGAAAAGATTAGAACTTTAAGATCTATACTTATAGAGCTCAATGCATGGTTGAAATTGGAAATTTTAGTGTTTTTTTATGATTATTTGGAGGAAGTGTTCAACATGATCCATGATGCGATGGTGCTGCTCTGTCCGACTCTTGAAGTAGAAAATCATTTACTAAAGTTGCATATCAAAGAAACTGCCAATGGTATTTTGGATGATAATCTGGAATAAACTTTCTTGGAAAATTCAATAGTTTCAGACTTTTGATTGGGCCGCCCATTAGTGATTATAATACTGGTTGTCCCTAATGTTAACATTAAAGTTGATAAAAAGTTGAAGGCATAAATATACCTGAAATGCTTTTTAGTCAACCCCTCACGGAGATTCTACTCTTTGTTAAAATATTCTCATGTACGATGGTTACTGCTGTTTTAATAGCAATAACGCGTTGAAGAATTTAGAAGTGCTGATGTACAGATTACTTAAAGAACTAGTTCTTTTTTATAATTGAGAATGGGAAATATCAGAATTTGATCCTAAAGTAAATGAGTTATCCATTAAGTGATTACTATTTACTTTTTTGAGAAAGCAGGGATTACTGTTTACTATTTAAGTTTATATTCACTCTTTTATTTGTTTGTTCATCTAAAGTGACAAAAATATAGCTCTGTATCTCAAATCTCAATAGATTCAGTTCTTCTCGCTGGCATGCACCATGTTTGACAACCAATGAGTGCTTCGGGGAATTAATCCGAACCCACTATCATTCTATAGTTATTCTATGATCCCTAATCAAATAGTAAATTAAGAATGAAGAAAACTTTGGTCAACTCTAAAGAATTAAACATTTGCATCAATACCACAATTCGTAGCCCACGACCATGAAACTGTTTGTCCTTCAAATTATAAGCTTTTAGTTAAGTTCCTCCATTGCATTTGCCTTCAAACTATAAGGTGTAAGTTCAGTTCCTCCGTTGTATTTGTCCTTCTAGCTATAAGCTTTAAGTTCAGTTCCTTCGTTGCTTGCTTCCCTTGATTTCTCTCCAATGAAGTTTATACACCTTCTACCATCCATCAAATTCTTTGGATCAGATTTGTGTGAGAAAATCAATTTAAGTTCAATGAACATTTGTCCGATAGTTATAATTTTCTATTTCTAGCTTGGAATGGGATGGTTGTCAGTAGATGTGTAATACCTTGTATGCTTTCAAGTTCACATTCCAATTTCATTGAGCTAATGGAAAGAGTATAGAATTTGTTGATTTGGGTGTGCATGTGTGTATATGCATGAGAAGAGCTTTGTCACTTATCTGCACTTTGTACCTGATTTGATCCTTTCTACAAATTGTAAATTATCTGGATTAGTTGTTTTTTGTGAGCTGTTAAAGAAAGATTTGGAAGTGATGACTGCCAATTTTTAACATTATTCCAGAATGATTAAACTAAACTAAACAAACTTCTGATTTTGACTATTTTTTTTTTTCCCTTTTCTACCAGAAACAAGATAAGTATCATCAATGCTGGTGCATTAGAACCCATCATATGCTTTCTTCAATCAGAGAATTCAACTCTACAGGATCATGCAACGGCCTCATTGCTTACATTATCTGCTTCTTCTGTGACAAAGCCCATCATTAGTGCTTCTTGTGTCATTCCTCGACTTGTAGATGTCCTAAGACAAGGAAGCTCACAAGCCAAGGTTGATGCAGTGATGGCTCTTTACAACCTGGCAACTTATCAAGGCAACTTAAACCTGATCCTTCAAACAGAGTCCATACATTTCATTGTTGATTTGCTTAAATCCTGTAAAAAGTCCTCAAAAGCTGCTGAGAAATGTACTGCTCTTATAGAATCTTTAGTGTGTTATGAGGAGGGAAGGACTGCAGTGACATCTGAAGAAGGAGGAGTACTTGCAGTAGTAGAAGTGCTTGAAAGTGGATCTCTTCAAAGCCGAGAACATGCTGTAGGTGCTCTACTAACAATGTGTCAGAGTGACCGCTGTAAATACCGGGAAACAATATTGAAAGAAGGCGTAATTCCTGGACTTCTTGAGCTGACTGTTCAAGGAACATCTAAGTCTCAAACAAAAGCACAAACACTTCTAAGGTTGCTCAGAGACACTACTTATCCTAATTCTGAACTTGAACCTGACACATTGGAGAACATTGTTTCCAATATCATCTGTCAGATAGATGGAGAGGAACAATTAGGAAAAACAAAGGAGATGCTTGCTGAGATGGTACAAATTAGTATGGAGCAAAGTTTGAGACATTTACAGCAAAGAGCACTGGTATGCACTCCAGCTGATTTGTCTATTTCAAGTTTCAAAGAGAGTTAGAAAAGCCAATTCAGTTGTTTCCTTGCAGCCAGTGTTATTCGATCACAGGATCCCATGACGTTGCAAAAATGACTAGAATTTGTTTTTCCAGTTAGCCAGGGTGCATATTGTGGTTGTCTTTACTTTTGTCAGCCTTGCACCTATATTGAATAATGCCTGAGTCTCATGACTTGATTCGTTCTCTTCCACTCAGTGCTCAGGGATAGAAAGTGGGTTGTCAGCAAATGTGATGAAATGGTGAGGTTCAAAGGAGAAAAGACTTAAGGTGGATACCTAGGCAACCAAGAGGAGGAAGGCATAATAATCACAAACTGCTTCAGGGAGTTGCAAATCAGCGTCTTCAAATATATTCATGATATGTTGGTCTCAGCATCGATCATTTTGTTTCTCTTTTCCGATATCATCCTTTAATTTCTTCCTTCCCTGCAACTATGTGCTGGTGTCCTCTTGATACTTGGAAATATCAGATGATATGAAAGAATGCCAGTCCGGGTCCTTCTGAATAGGCGCCAGGTGACTGGTTATATTGTTTAATAATTTTGGAAAACTTATTAAGATCTTAGAGATACTGTTTTCGAGTTTAATTTCTGTTAACATTGATTGTGTATTGAAGGTTATACAACTGTTAAAAGTTCCAATTCTCCATTCTCATAGTTTGTTAGTGACATACAGAGAATGTTTAAAAGGAACGGATGGAGTTTTTAAAAGGACCATACTGTATTTATAAACCAAAAGATGAGTATAAATATATATTTCAAAGTAAATCAGAGGGCTGAATCAAAGTTTGAAACACTGTGGACCCTAGAGATCCTAATATACAGCAGATGGAACAAATTCTCCAACTATTCATCATATCTTTAATTATAATTAACATCCTCACCTTGGTAAAAATAAGAAAAAATTCCCTTTATACTTTCATGTCCTGTTTTTATGATATCCACAATGGTGGAGAAAATTGATGGTAATTGAGAAGAAGAAATCACCATAATATGGAAGCAGCCAATATATTTGGTTCCCAATCTCATACAAACATAGGACTTCGTTCAAATGCTGGACTTCCACAGAAGGTATGGTTCTTTAAGACGAATTCAAAATTTAAATTTGATTAGATTTATCACGAAACCATTGCACACATGCAGTTATTTGCGGAGGCGATTGGGGCTTACGTGATAATATTTGCATGGTGTGGATCAGTAGCAATGTATAAGCTACAGGATGATGAGAGCATAACGTTTGGAGGTATAAACATGACATGGGGAGCTGTTGTTATGGTCATGGTTTACTCCATGGCACAAGTTTCAGGAGCTCATTTTAATCCTGCTGTAACTCTCATTTTCACCGTCTTTCGTCGCTCCCCCTGGAAATTAGTACGTACTAGTCATAGTAACTTTTTCGATTTACCTTCACAAATGACATAAAATAAAATCATATGGTAAAATTGCTAGATTTAATTTCACTAGCTCAATTGTTAGCATATTAGCAAAAATGTGTATGAAGAAACTAATTAACATCACATTCATGTGATGCAGGCACCAGTGTACATAATAGCTCAACTAATTGGCTCAATTCTGGCAGGCGTTACTTTAGCACTATTGTTGGATGTAAACCCCATAGTTTATTTTAAGCATTTTCCTAAATTGGGTTGAAAAATAACCCCCAATTTAATATTTGGGTTCAAAAAGTAAGTATTCTAATGATAATGAACTATAGTTTACCTCACAAGCATTTAACGAATTTAACAACAAACATTTTATTTTCTTTGTTTCAATTTATGTAACAATTTTTGCTTTCCAATAATTAATTTAATTTACGAAAAAAATTATAAATGAACAAGAAATAATTATGAAATACAAAAATGTAAACTTTTCAATCAAAAAGATGAGAAATCTCTATCTGTTAAAAAAGAAAATCATTTCAATATATTGAGTAAATAAGGTCAATTAAATAATTTATTTACTAAACATAATTTCACCAGATAAATTGTTGTTATTCAAAGAAAAAACATTAAATAGAGTACCATGAAACTCTTCTATGCATAGCTGAACCTAAAATGATTGAATCATGTATGAATAGTTCGGTAGTGTTAGTTTTCATTTTTTTTTTATCTCTCAATTTTTAGCACGTTATCACTGCACATTAATAAAATTAATTAAGAATTATGAAGGTGTGAGGTGGACCGTGGAAGAATATATGGATGCGAAGCATAACCAATATTAATTGACATATGGAGAGTCCCGTAAGATTATTTAAAAACAAATTATAAAAAAAAGGTAATATCAAATGTTTATATTTTTCTGTTTAGGATGCCTAATTAGAGGACAATATAAGAAAACTTAGAAGTAAAAAAAAAATCTTCATATTAAGAAAAAAGAAAGCATAGCAGCACCGTTTTAAAATTGTAGTAGATGTTATATAAAAACTTTTTATCATTCTTTCAAAAAGATGATATAATTTTAAATGTTTAAGTATAATTTGAAAGCACGAGTAATTTTTACTTTTGCAAATTTTAACTTATTTTTGTGCCATCAGTTAAGAGGAATTTTAACTTATTTTCGTGCCATCAATTAAGAGGAATTTTAACTTATTTTCGTGCTATCAATTAAGAGGAAAATAGAACTTTAAAGAGGAAATACTATTTGATCAGTTTTATTTATTTATTTTTTGGAACCCTAGGATAATTCGCAGCCGCTAAATCCCCACTGTGTAATAGTGGGTACACCACACAGGGGATGTAAACCGCACTAGGCAAGCCCTATGCGACAGGCTCGACTCATAAGGCATTCAGGGGATCAATCCCGGGTCATCCGTGTGGATAACCACCCTCCAAACCAACTGAGTCATCCCGAAGGACCTCAGTTTAATTTAAAAGGGTTATATATTGATACGGTTCGATAAATATTTTAGCGTCCTTTTAAAATTGCATTATTTAAAAAAAAAAAAAAAAAAAAAAACGGTTGTTCTATGCCTTCCTTTTCCTTAATAAGGAGATTTTATTTTACTTTTAACAGTTTTCTTATATTGTCCTATAGTTAGGCATCCTAATTAGGAATAATATAAACTTTTAACATTACTTTTTTTATAATTGATTTTTATAAATAATTTTGCGGGACTCTTGAGTCTACATGTCAATTAATAAAATCACAAAATAAATTTTTTGAATGTCACATCACATTGTTTATGATTAACTTTATATTATATAGATATGAATTTTTTAATTAGAAAATAAGAGAAAAAATATATAAAATAAAAAAAGAGAGAGAGAGAGAAATATTAATATTAATAGACAGAAGAGAGTGAAATATCATTTTTTACAAAGGTTTAAAATTCTGAGGAAAAAACAGAAGATAAGTAGTGGTATTCAAAATTTAATTTAATAACATTGAAGAAAAACTTTCAAATTCTACCATTAGTAAGTGATACGGAATCCTTCAACTTATGTAACTAATTCATGTAAATGCATTAACTATGGAGAAGAGTTAAATAGGTTTGAACTTGTGTGCAAAATAATAAAAAAAAACATATGTAACCGATATAAAATTAATTAAACTTATTGATTAATGTTTGATGAATATCATAAGCCCATGATTAGTTCTTTAATTAGAAAGCAAAAGATATATATATTTTTAAAAAAGTTCAAAAAATAATGAAGAGAAAATAGAGAAATACAAGTAATAGACAGATCAGAGGCAACTAAGGAAATGAAATAGATCACAATAACAAGTAAAGTCATATCATTTAAAGAAATAAAATAAATGATACTCAATAATAAGGAAAGACATATGATTTAAGGAAATGAAATAAGTGATAATAATAAGGAAAGTTATTTTATTTAAGGAAATAAAATCAATGACAATAATTTTAAAAAAACTCACATATCATATAAGGAAATAAAATAATAAACTAAAAAAAAAATGTATTCAGATATTCAATTATAAATACAATGATATCTAAGAAAATGATACTTTTCTAAAAGCGGAAGGCTCAAAGCATGGCAACAAATATTGAAGAAGGCATCAATATTTGTATTTCCCAATCAAATAACAGTAGCACAAGATTTTGTTCATCACCTTCTGTTGTTACTGTTGCACAAAAGGTTAATTAGTTCTCAAAAAATGTTTTCGTAGGGATCTTTATACAAATAGTCGGTTAGATTTCTCCTTTACTAATTTTAGCCAATTACATAGATTATATTTTAATTATACTTATAAGATACATGAATTTAAATTATATAGCTATTTAAAATTATGTTTTTAAATAGAATAACTTCAAATGTTATGTTGATTTGCAGAGGTCATTGGCACATACTTTATTATATTTGCTGGATGTGGTTCAGTTGCAGTGAATAAGTTATACAATGGAAGTATAACATTTCCAGGAATATGCGTGACATGGGGTCTAATTGTGATGGTTATGATTTACTCTCTGGGACATGTATCAGGAGCTCATTTTAATCCTGCTGTCACCATCACTTTCACCATCTTTCGTAGATTTTCATGGAAGCTAGTACGTATTTTTTTTATTTATTGTACTTTTTAAAGATTTTGTTATTTTTGTTTTAATTTTCATTTATATTTTTATATTAGGACTTAGGAGGAACATACATGATAATATTAGTAGGATGTATAAGAATAGTATTGAATCAAGTGTATTACTAATACACAAATTGAAATGTGTACCAACTCAGATATTTGTGATACCAAAGCTACTATATGTATATTTTCTCCAATATCTTTTACCCTAAGAGACCAATAGATACATAACTAACAACTTTTAATTAATCAAAGTGTAAATTTCATTAAGTAGTCGTCAAAGTATAATTTGCCCTTAATTCTTGTTTAAATTTAAGTGCTTAGTGTAAATATATATATATAGAGTTTTATACTATCAAACATTCAAAGAATATTTATAGGCAAGTTTTCTTTAAAATAGGTCTGAACTCTTATAACAACAAGATATGTAACCTATTGTAACAGATAAGATAACCAAATTATAATATAAAATAATTTATACTATGTTTGTTACTATTCTGTTTTAGCAAAATGTATATGAATTGACATATAATATATGATGTAGGCACCTTTTTACATAATAGCTCAGTTAACGGGGTCGATTCTAGCAAGTGGCACATTAACACTATTGTTAGACGTGACTTCAAAATCTTATTTTGGTACAATTCCAATTGGATCTAATGCCCAATCTTTGGGTATTGAAATCATCATTTCCTTCCTTCTAATGTTCGTTGTTTGCGGAGTTTGTACCGATGATAGAGCGGTACGCTATTATTTTACTCTTTCACCTCTATCTCAATTTATATGATATTTTTATTTTAAAAGATTATATATTTTTATATTTAAAATAATTTTACTCAAGAAATGATTTATTATTATAATTTACACCAATATATGTTTTTCTTATATTTTGTACTTGCAGATAGGACACCTTGGTGGATTAGCAATTGGGATGACAATAATCTTGAACGTCTTTGTTGCCGGGTATGTTTGTTAATTCAAGCCACTCAACTCATATTTAGTGCATATCGGTGGATGTTAGCTTCTATTTAATTTTATAAATGATGTTGAATAACCCTTATCTTATAAATTATATTTTGAGTTAGGCCTAGCATTTAATAGCTTTAATTAAAACAACAATTGTTGATATTATTTTCTCTTAGTATCTCAAACTCTTCACTTAATTGATACTCCACCTATTTAAAAGTAATACTTATTGATTTTGAAATGGAGAGCATCAATAGATATTTTGAATTTTTACGCTATACAACAGTCCATCAAAATGATAGTCGAGAAATGTATAAATATTATTTGATTTTTAAGCATATTACGTGGAAAGTTATAATTAAATAGTTTTCAAAAAAAAAAATGATTTTTTTTAAAAACAGACAAAAGAAAAATAAATTGAAATAGGAATATATATACTCATATTGGCAAGCAGTCAAATATAATGTGTACGATCCCCTAATTTTTAGCTTTGAAATGTCGTGGAATGCAGGCCAATTTCAGGAGCATCAATGAACCCAGCAAGGAGCATTGGTCCAGCTATAGTTAAGCAAGTCTATAAGGGACTTTGGGTATATATAGTTGGGCCACTCATAGGAACTGTGGCAGGAGCATTTGTATACAATTTAATTAGATCTACGGATAAACCCATTTCTTCAACTAGTTAATGGTCCATTTCGTCACGCGGGGATAAATTATGATTTAAAATTATAATATAAAATTATTTGAGATGAATTTATAATTTTGTTAGGACATACTATTTGGATTTTTAAATTGTATTTTTATTTATAAACATAAAAAATTCATAAGTTATGAAAATTATTAAAATTGCCCAATTATTTATATAATCTTATCAAATAAGCAAAAGTTCATAACAAAGTAAAATACATTATCACAAATTTATTTTTAAAAAATTATAACATTTATTAATCAAATTTTAATTCAATAAAAATATGAATTATAGTGAAATATTCTTCAATATAATTCCCCCACAAAGTACATACAATCTACTGAGGCTAAACATTCAATTCTTGATATAAATGATAAAGATGAGAAGATCTCCTTAATTATAATTATGAGATCTTCTCATCTTTATCATTTATAATTGCGAGATCTTCTCATCTTTATCATTTATAATACTAATATTGATGCACGTGAATGTCAGTATTGATACATGGAGAATTTTGGCAACATGGACTTGCTCTACTACGTTACTCAAAGGTACGTATTTGCATCTTACTTGCATGTTGAGATATTTTAGTAATTAATGGGTTCTTCCAAATATTCATGTTAAGGTGCCTGTTATTTCTAAATATTCATGTACGCCCTAGGCTCTTTCTAACAGATGCAACCAACTTAGACATCTTCGATTTGCTAGAGGTTTAACTATAGCTACTGAGAACTTTCCGATGTTGGACATTTACTACACATCAATTACTAAAGATGGTGTAGAAAGTGTTGACCGTGCTTGCCCCACTGCTCAAGACTCTTCATCTTATTTAGTGGGATCTACAGCAGCAGAAAACAACGATAAAGCTCTAGCAATTGCCAATAATATGCCTGAATTGCGACATCTTTCATTTCGTACAAACAACTTGACATATGAATGACTGCATACAATTTTTGAAGGTTGTCCACATCTCAAATCGCCAAACTTGGGCTTCTACTAGTTATTGTATCACTCTTGAAGGAAGAAGATGTAGCCAACAAATTGTTTATGAATAAAATTTATGTTTATCTATTCTGACTTAATTAATTCACTGTTTTGATAATGTTTATATACATTGGACTTATATAAGTGTTTATCCATTTAATATTACTAGTATAGTACCCGCGCGATGCGCGGATTTTATATGTATATTTATAGTTCATTGGTCATATAAGCGGATAAGATATAGCTCAACTTTACGATTATTGTATTTGTACTTTAATAATAAACAAAATTTATGAAAGCAATATTGTTAGTTGACCTGATTTTGAAGAAAATGTGATATGAAAAAATAATTTATCACGTAGAATTGCATGTGCCGTACCGAAGGAATTATATGTTAGATGGCATCTACCAATATAATATATAAAGGTGCTAGCTTGAAAGTGTAATCCAGGTAAATTGTTATGAACATCAAATTCTTGTCCTGTAGTTGTTTAACATTGTTGGTCCTTTATCTGGCACTGAAAAGTTAAACGAAATTATGATTTATATTTATTTATCATGTCTCCTCAATCTAAGTTCATTAATCTCTTAAATTTTTTTGAACTAACACTATGCATATCATCCTAACCTCTTATCAAAGTCTGCCTCCATCTTTATCTTGTAGGGTAGGATTCAGTATTATATTATACTAATTCTTAGTTAATTAAACTCATTTCTATTAAAAGGATGTAATTCATTATAACTCAAGTGATCAAAATTCTTAAAGTTGCGACGAAAGAAAAGTAAACAGGTCAAAAATTCAACCAATTCCCCGACTTTATCTTTACATCTATAGCTCACTTATACTACATCTCATAATGCTTGGTAGGAGTCCAACTTGATTACATATGTTTCTAGCTTTGGTATCAGGCTTGATCTAATATAAGTTTCTTGTATGATCAACCTTAGTATAACCTCTAATGTTCTTGCCTTATGTTGAAAACTCAATCAGTTCCCTTTTTGCCATACATGTTTATAATTTAAACTTTTTTTAAAAAGTGTTATGTTTAGTCAATTTTATAATAGAAGTGTAGTTCTCCTTAAAAAGTATTACAGCTTACATAGAAAACAAATTTAATATAAAATGTTGCGTATAAACAATTAGCACATCCAAGATGTCTTATGTCTGAAATAATATATCTTGTTTCCATCAATTATGAAAAAGAGCTAAACAATTCATTTTGATCTTCTAGTAGCTGTTCCACCTGCTGATGAGTCAAGCATGCTTTTATTTTTCGTTGGTATTGTGTATCATCTAGTCTTGCATTTGATTTCAAATAGCAAAGAATGGACAGTTTAGTTATAATATGTGCATTAATCTCATCCACTGTCTTCTTATATATACAAGTTTTTACAAATAATGATCTCTATTTCATTTCAATGTTCATGAAATCTCTTTTTTTCATAACTGTAATTTTTGACATCTTACTTGCAATCTACATATCTTGGAATAACATAAAACACAATATTGACCGTAGAGAAGCAAGGGCCCAGGAAAGATAATCCTCTAGGTACTGCTTTAACCTTGGTTGAACACTTTTCTATTAATTACTAAACTAACTAATTATACATTTCTTCAGTTCTCCAATAGTTTTTCCTTCTAGTAATGCTTTAGGTTGTCTTCTTCTTCTTAAAGACTCTCTTGATCTTATTTCCTGACAACTGTGAGTTAGGATCTTCTTCATCAACTGTTACGGCATCAATTTTCTTTATCTTGTTAGGCACCTGTGAGACATTGATCAACTCAGTATCTTCAGTGGAATCCTACATATATATATATATATATATAGTAAAGATGATAATGTCAGTTTTGAAGGACTATTGCATTTATAATCATTAAATAAATGACAATATAAACAAATATTATTAATATATTGTAAAATAACCATGAATTCACGATCGTCAAGACTGACTTGGTTTTCATTGAAATCTGAATCCTAAAAAATGTATAAAAAACTTATAATTTAGTTCAATCATAGGAATCAAACTTGATATATATTTGAATATAAAATAATACCTTGAATGTCTCTCCACGTGGTGGAGGCCTGTATTTTTCTATAATATCTTCGTCATCAGTAAACGTAACAACTTTAAAGACTTCATCTTGACCTTCACCATTGGAGCTCTGTAATTCCAATTTAAACATGTATGTATTGTCCACAATATTGTCCAACTCCATAGGATATGCAGACTTATTTGCAGCACCAGTAGTCTTAAGAAAATACATATTTTTCAAAGTTTAATATAAAATATAGGAACAAAACGTACTAACATATTTAAACATATTTTAAACAGGTTAGTAGAACTTAAAGTTTAACATGCTTATAGTGTATACCTCAAATAAATCAGCAGCAGATTTTCCAATCATCTTTGTTGCTACCCCATCCCACAACATCACAGAAATTGTGCCAGTATCATCCAAAACTCTAACTTTTAGTTTGTACCTTTGAATAGTTAATTTTGTTAGATTATTGAGTTTGTATGAGACATATATAGAGAAATTTGAATTTTGGCCATATCTACGGATGACTGATTCAACAAAACCACATTGTCTACAGTATAATTTGTCCCCCACTTCATCAACACCTTTTGCGCATTGTTTGCATGCTAAAAAAGACCATCCATGGTCTATTTCAAGATGAATTATCTTTGCCACAATATAATAATTCTCTTTCTGCAAATTTGTATTGTATATACAACTGTTATATTAAAAATAATGTAAAAGTTGTGTTGAATAAAAAATATAAAATTAAGTACTTACATGCCTATAGTCAATCAACTTCTCAATCTCATGTACTGTAACACTTCCTGATGCCAACTCAGTAGCAATAGATTGATTCCTTTGTGAAGAAATCTGTGTAAGTCGTTGGGAGCTTTCTCCAAGAACAAACTTAATTCGTGATGAAAATTCATCAACTTGAGGAAGACTTGAATTGATATAAAGCTTGGAAGTATGCCAAGTGTTCTTCACCGAAATTTGGTCTGCATAGTTAATAATTTGGTAAGAGTTTATTTATTGTGCAATTATCTTGAATAGCAAAGTAGAGACTTAAATAACCTCTGAATCGATGTGATCTAATCAACTGCATGACAACGACAATAGGCTTGTCATTGGACTCATTCAAATATGGCTTGATCTGATCCACAAAGTCACCCCAAAAAGTTGTTGAAATATTTTTATTCTTACATAATTTATATGGTTAATCATATGAATAAAAATAATGAGTTGTTGAAGCACATATTCATTGAATTGTGGGATGCGTACTCATAATCCTGTATGTCAACGTTAATGAACGTTCGGACACTATCATCTTGTTTGATAGACTGTACATCCCCATAACTCACAACTTCTCCAATGATATTTACAACAATAGTGACGACATAAATTAATACAAAATAAATAATGATCGAAGTCTGAATAAGGAACATATAAATAATGTATTTATTACCAAATAGTTCTGTGTTATCAAATACCTGTGGATTTGTAAGTTGTGTATATGATTTAAATTTGAAGATAGACATACTGAAATGTGGATCCTCTACCTCCTCAACGACTGTCTTTTTTGTGAACATCAACTTAAATTTGTGGTCTTTGATCCTTAATTTCATAGTATTTGGACAAACCACAAAATTCTTAATAAAGTACAATCCCATTTCCTTAATACTTTCTCTGAAATTTGGGAATAGAGATCTGCCAAGGGTCGCGTGAATGTGATCGCCCTACAGATACAATTAGTTACTTAATTAGCACTCCAATTTAGTATATAACTTCTTAAAAAAATAATATCATACTTATACAATATATTAAAAATACCTTTTCATCCATCAGAATAACCTCGATAGAAAAAGGACAATCTGGTCGATCACGATCCGTGTTTTCCCAAAGCCTGACAATACGAATTTTTAATTTCCAATACATTGACTTGTTGTTAATTTCGCTAATGAAATCAGTCGTAGCTGCCATAATTAATTCGTCCGTTCAATACAAAAGAAGTATGAAACAAAATAAAAACACTAATCAGCAAGAAGTGTAAAGAAGGAAAAAGATGCATACGGCCTATATTCAGCAGGGAAGTCTATATATAGTGAGAGTTATGAGATAACTTCCATAAACGTGAAAGTTACAGCAACGTGGGTATCCTTTGAAACCACTACGGTTAAATCTATCGCTGCTATTTTTTCTCTATTAAAGAAGCTTAATTAGAAAACCGTAGAAATAAGTTAATATTGTATAGAAATAGGACTCTGTAAGTTACAATATAAATTGTGTATTTATTTGTTAAAAAGTGATATCAAAGATGATAAATGATAAATGTTGTCAAAAAAAAAATACAAAGATGATAAATAAAAATCATAAACATTCCTTGAATTATGTTACACGATTTTAGGCTTTTAAGGAAAGAATGTGCATACACTAACTAAAAAACAGTAACTATTTTTAAACAGTAATTATTATTTTTACTGACATAGGATTTATACTTATGGGATCATAATTTTTTGGGTGTAATATTTATTTGTGTGTTGTGCAATTATGTGCATGTGTGTGCAGGGAAAAGAAGAATAAGAAATACGTGGAGTTTGTGGGATTTGAGACGTGGGCATGTAGTCATCGTGATCATAAATTATAAGGATAATTATCATTTCATCACAATGATTTACTGTCAAAATTTGAAATTATAAAACTGTAACAAAATATAACTATCAGTTTTAAAATTGCATTTTTTGGTGGAAACGTGAAAGTGAGTTTTATTTGGCTTGCCAACTTCCCAATTTTAAAAATGATCATATTATTTTTAAATAAATAATTCTAATTAATTTTTAATATACTATATAACTATCAGTTTTAAAACTGCATTTTTTGGTGGAAAGGTGAAAGTGAGTTTTATTTGGCTTGCTAACTTCCCAATTTTAAAAATGATCATATTATTTTTAAATAAATAATTTTAATTAATTTTTAATATACTATTTGATTTTAAATGTTTCTTTGCAATTTGAATTTTTAAAAAGCTGTTAAAAAACAATAACTAATTATTACCTAATAAACTAATTTTGTCATAAAACTGCCACTTGTCTTTCTACTGCGCTGCCACTTGGCATAATTATAGGCTAGACTTTCTTGCTTTTAATTATATATAGATAGTAATGGCGAAAATGGTGAAAATATTTTTGGGTTTGGAGAGATGGTGAAAAAATAGAAGAAAAGAGTAAAGAATAATGAAAAAATTGAAGAAATTTTTTTTTTAATGGAATTTCCACGTGTCAAACGCGTGAGATTCACCCATCAACATAAATGTGGCTGTGGCTTTTTAGGGGTACAATAATTTTGATTTTAAATAGTTCAGGGGGGTAATAGGACCCCGTAAAATTTAAGTGTGTAGTTAAAAATTCAGTAATAGATTAGGGGAGCATTTGGCCATTTTCTCTATATAATATAGTGTGTTGGTTTTTAAATATGTTTCAAACATTTTTGTTGGCAACATATTAGTAATCATTCATATTTATGAATTATTTTAATAAATGATTGACTTTCACTTTTCTTGGAATATTGAGAACAATAAGATTTTATTTGAGGATTCAAGAAAAGAAAGGGTTGATGTTCAAGTTGAAAATTTGCAGGATTGTGATGATACTATAGGTAAGTTTTTTTTGTTACTGCAAATATTGTTTATATATTAAAAATCTTGAAATAGAGCTATACAAATGATGTTTTATATCTTTTTTTTAGGTGATGTTGCTGTGGGTTTTGAAAAAAATAGAAATATTCCTACATTGGATGACTTTGTTATGCCAATTATGCGTGAATCACAGTTGGTTGCTCTTGAAACTGGACAAACATATACTCATTAGTAATTTAGTACTCCCTCTGTCCCTAATTACTTGTCCACTTTTCCTTTTATAGTTGTCCCTAATTACTTGTCCATTTTGACTAATCAAGAAAGGACAAAAAAAATTTATCTATTATACCCTCAATTAAATGACTAATTATTTTGAAAAATGTAGAACTTTTCATCCACTTCATAATTAATAGGGGTAAAATGGTAAATTTACTATGTCATTATTTATTTTCTTAATAGGTGTGACAATTCAAAAATGGACGAGTAATTAGGGTCAGAGGAAGTATCAGTTAAGCGAATTATTAATTGAGGTAATTTATTGTAATTATTAAATGGGGTATCAATGTAAGGGGTATATATTTGTAATTAATTTGTATTTATGGCATATTTGCTTAGTTTCCCCTTATTTAAAATAGTAATTTCTTGATTTAATTTATATTCTAAATTCTAAATTACACCGCAAGTCACTAGGATTATGGCTACCTACAAGGATTAAAGATAAAGATAGCAATAAAGCAGGAGTAATTCTTGATCCTAGAAGAGAGCTTAATTGTGACTGAAAAAGCTAATACTTCTGTATCAGCATAAAGTTATATCTCCATTAAAGAAAAATTGTTCGAAATCTTTTCTTCAATGTATTCTCACTAATGAAGTTTTTTCATTCATTCTTCATAATACTTCTGTTCAAAATGAGCACAGAGGAGGAGAAAAAAGAAATTCATTATATCAATTGCATCAAAATTAAAGGAAATTGCATAAATTCACTCCTAAAGTTGTACCGAAAAGTCAGTTATACGCTTAAACTATTGAGGCGACCTATTACACACTTATACTATTCAAAAGTGAATTTAATACCACCCTCAAAGCTGACATGAAAATAAGATTAAATAAAAAATAAATAAGACGCGTTTGAGTAGAAAAAAAGACAAATTTGTCCCCACCCCCACCCTTCTCCTTCATGTTACTCTACCTTTATTCTTCCTCCATTTTTTTTCTTATCACATACACTCTTTTTGCTATGGCTAATGTGAAAAATAATTTTTTCATGATAAATGTCCAAGAGAAAAAATAGAAAACAACATTGCGGGATAGAAATTCATCGCAAAGATGGCAAAGTTGTTCAATTAATTAAGTTCACTGTTCGAAAAAAATTTCGGCGAGACATCTAATATTGATCAATCCTTACTATTCCCACATCAAATTTGTTAAGTCAAGCACGAATAATTCAATTTATTTTTGTGTTTTTTTTTTTGTTGATTGTGAGCATTTGAAATAAGAAAAATTTCAGATCTTGCTTTTTTGTGTAAAAAGTTAATGGGTTTTGCACAAAATTCAATTTTTTAATGCAAATTCATAGATCTTCCTTCTCTTTCAAAAAAATCCTCTCTAGATTTTCTTCAAAATCGGCAATAGTAATCGAGCACTAGTTTTTCAATTGTCTGACTAAAATCTTTGCAAATAAATATTGCAAGTTTTCACAATTCTCCTCTTTGAGCTTGAATGAAATTTGTATAATGTGATAGTTTTTTGTGACGGGTTTGGTGATGGGTGGAAAATTAGTGATGGTATGACCTTTAATTTTGATAATGAAAATGAAATTCATGATTTTGATGTGGATGGTGAATTTATGATTATGATTGTGATGAATTTCAATGATAGTGATATGATTCTAATGGTAATTTAGTTAAATTTATGATGTTTGTTATCGATTTTTTATGATGACAATGGTTGTGGGAAGATTCCAGTGGTGAAATTTATGGTGGTGGAAAAGTGCATTTAATGATAATAGCAATAATGGTAGTGATTTAATGGTGGGTTTGATGATGTATAGGGAAGAAGAAGAAGAAGAAATTGGGTGACATGGAATTTTTTTTAAAAAAAATCTGACATAATTATTGATGTGACAATGACACAGTAATGACGTGGCACGAGTGTGAAACACTTTCTCATCATGTGACTGGTTGTATGTGCGTTAGGTTGAAATAAATTCACTTGCAAGTAATTCAAGTTTGTAATAGGTCGTTACAATAGTATACGCGTGTAACTAACTTTTCATAACAAGTTCAGGGGGAAATTCATGCAATTTCCCAAAATTGTATTAAGCTATGCGTGTTGTACAATTATGAGAAAAGGACTAAGAAAAATTATAGAGATACAACATGAGATTCGACTTGTGAATTGGCTAAAGTGCTTAAGAATCAATGTATCAATCATCATAAGAAGCATGAGGTGCAGCTGTGCAACCAGCGTCAAAAGGATCTTCAGACCCACAGCAATGCCAGTATTGAAAAACTTTACCACCATCAGGGGTGTCCATGGTGCCACCGGAATAAACACTCTCAAACTTCCTCCTTGTTTCTCCTGTTTGAAGAACAAAGATGACGGGTTAAGATGCTATTGCGCTCATTTTAAATCGGACAAAGTAAATGATGGATAAGAAATGGAATAAGTAGCAAGATAATATCCTTCAGCGTAAAACAAGCAGAAGGGCGTAAGGAAGTGAGAACACAATGTTCCTGCATTTTATTTATTATTCATACCAGTACAACATGAGAAATGATAATAGCCAGGAATAAATCAAAAGTACCTTCCATAGTTCCATTCAAAGGCAATGCAAATGCAACAGGTATATGAAAAGACGAATAACATATATCACTTAACTAGCATTACCGATGGTAAATTCTGCAGAAGTTGCATTGATATTTTTCCTGTGGAAATAATTGCTACATGAGTTGTTTACCCTATTTTATTGGAGCAGCTTTTTTATCAGTGACGTTCACTTCACACACATGAAACATCACCAGGGAGATAGTCGGTTCATCTTACATTAATTTTCATTAACTAAGATCTAATGCTCCACCGTCCTGTTTTGCCCGGCCTACATCAAGAGAAGAAGGTTTTAGTAGCTTACAAAGTGTTAATTATATCGAGAAAGGCTAATATATATATATATATGGTCTATGGAACTGCGACCATGGTCCTAATCTTAAAGTTGATGCATTCTAGAGATGACTATTGCAAATCAATACTTTATCAACTCAGAAGGAATCCTAGTTACAACACTTGGTGTGTACCCACCTGCTCCAATGGTGGGTAAGATTACCTTGGCAACTAGTGCTAGCAGGTTGGACAAGATGGAATCGAAGTGCCGAGTATGTTGGTCTGGTCACCACTGATATTAATTATTAATTAAAAAGAAAGAAAGAACAAAGGAACTAATATCTTCCATCCAAAACTAACTAATCCATCCAAGTATATATATACTTACAGAGAGATTCTATTTCTACTCTCTCCTTCAGCGAAATCTTTAATCCTAAAATTTACTGAAATTTACTAATAACCTACCATGTGATTTCTTAACTAAAGAAAGAACATTTCTAAAATAAACTGATTGGTTGAACATAGTAGGGAATCAGAACAGAAAAGTTCTTCATTGAGCAGGGAAGGCAAAACTAGCTGCCTTTCCACAACAACACAATCGCTACACATCAATCTCAAACTAGTTTCATTCAGTCACGTGCCCATTTAAATCGGACATTCCACTACTGAATAATTAGGGATTATCTAAATCTCACATCTCTCCCTACACTGTCAAACAATTTCTAATCAAACTTAGGAGGCACCTGACAAATCTGCTTATGTTATGAACCCAAAAAGAAAAGGAAACTGATGACAATGTATAAAATAAAAGGAGAATCAGGGCAACGCTGCCACCAATATCTTAACCGGATGGAACCAGCTTCAACTTAGAGAAGCCTAAATGGCTAAACCCAATTCAATCTAAAAGTTTAGCCTTTACCAGATAGAATTTTTAACTCACAAAAGCCTAGCAAATTCAATCTAATGCTGCACTCCACATTCCTGCATAAGATAAAGATGGGACTGCTGAATTGTCCAAATACATAATGATGCTGCCACGAGCCTCAAGAAATATAACTAGATAAGGAAGGATAAAAGCCTAAGAGGAGTCATTATCAGCAAGCTTAAGTATGAGTCAATGGTGGTTAACTAAGCCGCTATTAATGGAAACACTAATGCAAGTTAAAAACACTCTCAATTTTTAACATGTTCAGGGTAGTCATATTATACTCAAAACAACATATTATAAGAACTTGACAGCTCTTAAAAGAGTTTGCGAAAACCACAATATATCCTTCCCAGTACTCTCTTTGTCCAATTTTATTATCCATAAGTTTGCCTGGCATGGCAATAATTACACAGACCTTCCCGCAGGATTGGCTTGGTAAAGCTAGCATCCCTTGTGGTTTATGATATTACGCTTACCTATCTTATTTTAATTTCATTGTAACATCGAGACCAATCGATAGACCTCTGTTGTTGACCCCTCAAAAACTTGCCGGCAGACATCTTCGGAAGTGACTTAGCACCTATCCTAGAACAGCAATGCTCCTCCTACAGTCCTACTTCCCTTCCCCTTCCCTCATATTTTTGTGTGCAAGATCAAGCACCAGAGGAAGTAACTACATTAGCACAAAATAATAAACACGCAGGTTGCTGTTTGATGAAGAAGATAGGGACATGATGCATATGAAATGGTGGCTCTTTTTACGTTGTTGGAATTTTCTGTAAGATTGCACTGGTCAATGCACCCATTCGGTGAGGGAAGTCGCTTGCCATCAGCTAGCACTGATAAACCCACGAAATCAATATGAATTGAAAATCGCTCTTGCTATTCTGCTTGCACTGTTTTATGTTCAAAACTGAACTACAGAACTGGAATTACCATAAAGCATCTTATTGCCAGAAGGTTATTGGAATTTGTGAATCTTAGTTGCCTTAAACTTAACTACAAAAATCAAAATAAGGAAGATAAACGTAATATCATAAACCACAAGGCAAGTCAGTGTTACGGAGTCAAACGTGAAAGGAAATGTCCGAAATTTTCCAAAAGTACTACCTACTACTACTTTGAGTTACCTTGCAAGACTTACACACAACCCCTTATGGAGATGGGATTTAAGTTATATAAAGGTGACAGTGTAATGAATTTGTGATTTATCTTGTTATAGCAGGTTGCTAAGATTTGCTATTTTCTTTTTCCTTTTCCGTAATTAATGTACAAAGATTGGAAGATTTGATTCTTTACAGAAAAACATAGAGTAACTATAGGAATTGAAAAAATAAAGCTTTATTTTGGCATTATAACAATCTTCCTTTGCAATACATGGTATTATTACTCACCCTTTCAGCTACAGAAAACGAATTCAAACTATAATAATCAGAAATTTTCAACGACAATGAGACTTGACCCATATTTTACAAAACATTCAGAAGGGTACCTCCAAAATGAGCAGTGTGGTAACGGCAAGCATGAGGGTGATTGAGCAAAGGGTCGAACTGGGCCTTGCAATTCTTGCAAGTGCGGAGGTTCTGTGTTTGTTTCTCAGAGCATTGAACTGACAATCTCGTTAGGCGCCGTTTCCCCAAATCAATAATCGAAATTGAGTTGATGGTGGTTCGATTTGGATGAGAGGTTGAAGAATTTGCATATGGGATGACATGATTTGGACATAATTGGGTGGGCATGGCCATGAACATGGAGCTATAAGGAAAAACAGACACACAGGATTTTAGCAAAGAAATCGGAGGCTTAGCGGGCCTTGCCTACAACTTATGTTTGGCTGTCCGATCCTTTTCTGTCTTTCTTTTTAGTACTTACTACATACTATATTTTTTGTATTTGGGTTACCCATTTGGACGTTGATACTCATATTGAAGTCGATTAATTTTAAGGATAAACTACATAATTAGACATACTTAACTACTATATATACATATGTTACCTATAGTTTAAAAATATTACTCATAATACCACTTTTTAATAATTATACCATATATTTTAAAAAAATTAAATTAGATACACAAATTCCTTAAATATGATATTGAATAATTATCCTAAAATTTAAATCCCTTAATTAAAGGTTCTTTAACAATTCAACCTCCTTCAGTCTCCTCCCCCAACAATATCTCTCCCCCCACCCCACCCCCAGCCCTTACCGGATTCCACCCTCAATCCGAAAAAGAACTCCGAAAATGACAAAACTTTGTGTTTTCATATAACCGCATTATGAATGTAATGTTGTGCACTATCTTCTTGCTTAGAGTGTGATTATATCTTTGGTATAACATTTTAGAAGGCAAAAAGGCAACCACCCTTCTAAACAAGAATTTTCTATACTTCTTCTTTGTTCTCTACTTTTTAGGCATTTATTCTTCTCTGCAATTCTTCCAATTACTTGTTTCAGTTCAATTTACATTAAATACTTCCTCCTTATTCGGACGAGTCGTTGGACGTTGATGAAGCCATGTGCAGGTTTTTACATTATTTGTTTTTGTTGTTTCTCAACTATTTTAATGGTTGACTGTTTACAAAATCAGATGATTCTTGTTAAATGTAAATTCAAATTAATAAATCATGTACCTCACTTTTAAAAATTGATGGATACATGTATCTCGCCGTTAATGATTAAAGTCAATGAAGAAGATGAAGAGGTTAATCCAAATTAATAAATCGTGTATCTCGGCTTGGATACATGTATCTCGTCATTAATGATTCAAGCTGATGAAGAAGAGATGAAGAGGTTAATCCAAATTAATAAATCGTGTATCTCGACTTGAATACATGTATCTCGTCATTAATGATTTAAGTTGATGAAGAAGATGAAGATGTTAATTCAAATTAATAAATCGTGTATCTCAACTTTAAAAACTGTTGGATACATGTATCTCGCCATTAATGATTCAAGCCGATGAAGAAGATGAAGAGTACAATAACAGAATTAATTAGGTTTATGATTTCGTTATTTTAGGAATATTTGTAAGAGATGATACTCAAGATCCTGTAAATTTGTTGAGTTGTTAATTAGTCAATTAATCCATTAATTAAGGAAATAAGTTACAACCCCTTTAATTTAAATTAATAAATTGTGTATCTCAACTTTTAAAACGGTTGGATACATGTATCTCGCCATCAATGATACATGTATCTCGGGGCCAAAATATGGTATGAAAAGTAATATTACAAACTATCGGGAATCTTAGTAATTGGGATCTAAAGTAGTGAGATTTATGTAAGATGTCCTAATTTTAATATAGGTAATGATCCACCTGAAAGAACTTTTTCTGGTTGAAATTTAAGCACAATTTTTATTAAAAAGAAGTAGTAACCCATCTGTTATGTTATGTTTTTTTTTTGTTGGTACCACTACTTCATTTCGTCATTTTGTTTCTGTGTTAATGTGATAATTTTTCACCCAATATAATTTTCAATGATATTTAGTTGCTTGTACATTTTTATGGTAAAAGAAAATAACAATTGGATTCATGCTGTAACGAGTTCTAGATAATTTCCAATTATAGTGTGTTACCGTTAATTTCGTAAAAATACTAGTACTGAACTCAACTAGGTTTATTGTGTTGGTCCCACCAACTTCTATAGCAAATAAAATTCAGAAAAAATTCCCTATTCAAGAAAGTAAAAAATAAAAATCACCAATCATTTCATAGTTTTCTCTATCAAAATATAATAACTCCAGTTTCACTAGAAACTTTCATATATTATAATCACTAAGCTCAAAGTTACAATAAGAAAATGGAACTAATAAAGAAATTGCATAACAACAATGAAATAGTAAAATAAAGAAAATATTGAAGGCAGTAATTAGAAGGGAGATAAGAAGCTTAGACTCAAAAAAAAATATGAGAAGACTAGACATTCTTCTCAACAATCTACATAAACCGTTCTTTCTCATCGATCGTCCTTTTAGCTAGCTGTTAATTGCGCTTGGGTCCCAAATCAATCTTTACGAAGGTCTTTTATTTTTTAAAATGTTGTGATTTTAAGTCTTCTTAATTTCCTTCAAAATTTCTGATGGAAAATCGTTGTTAACCCTATAGTTAACAGCTATTATTGGTGACACACCTAAAAAAGGGGCATCTGTTGCTTTCTTTGTTTAATTTTTTTGATTTGGTGCTAATTATTTCCCGTGATCTTGTAGACAACTTCGTGGCATTATTGCAGCCCATCTCTCTAGCTAGCTAATTGTTGCCTAATTGGTGAACTAATTAGTGTGTATCAAAAAAGTATTCTCTATATAAGAAGTGAATAAGTAAACACACATTGAAGCATGCAAATTGGGAAAACTCCATCATTATAGCTTCCTCTTGGCTACGTTATGTTAAAACCAAGGTAAAAATTAATGTCCTTTTCAACTATTAGTTATCCAATCATTATCAATTTTCCATCTAGGAAATGTAGGATGATCAATAAAAACTATCACAAGTCAGAGCTCAGAGCAATAAAGATGAAGGTATTTTGTTTTACTATTATTATCGTGCGCGGGCACTACTAAAAAATCACTATTTTCCTACTTAGTGACTATTCTTATAGATATTTTGATTGAATTAATGAAAAAAAGAAAAAAAATAGTACTAATAATGTTTTCATACAGAAAAATTAGGAAGTACTTTTCCACTATTTCAGAGAGAATTTGTATTCTCCATGCATTTCTTGGCCCTTGAGTTGGTTCGGTGGGAACGAGGGGTAAATCATGTTTTATGGCATAAACTTGTCATTGATTCACGATGAAAAAAACCTTTGTTTTTATTTTTAGTAGTGACGGCGCGCCTATCTACGTTAATTGGGAACTTGTTTAATTTGATGATTAATTTGGTGATGATATGTCTTGATTTTGAAGTTGGAAAAAACGGCAGGAAATCATGGCATGCACATTTACAAGTTTTGAGGGAAAGGGTAGAAAAAGTGAAGATTGGAGAAATCTTTGGCATGTAAGCAGGGTTGGAATTACTACTCAACTACTACAAAAAGTACATGTTATGTCAAGAAACATAAGAAAAAAAATAGATTATGTATCTCAAATTGTTGAATTCTTCTTCATGGTAATTTGTGGTACTCTTAGTTTCACTATTCTTGGCTGCACTCTTTGCCTGGCACCTCACCTCTATTCTAATTCATAATTTGAATCCTTGAAATTGATTAAATAGTTCTCTTTTTCTTCGATAACCTCGGACCAATCAATTGAATATTGTTTCCAGCACTGCTCGATTCTTTTGGGCAAGTTCGGATCTCATCTTTCCTTGGCATGTGAATCTACTATAGTGCATGTGAGGCCCTTTATTGACGTACGCTTTCTTAAAAACGAAAATGAATAAAAAATGTTATTATATATAATAACTTGAGGTGATGTCTATGTAATTATTTCTTTAGTTTTTTTTTTTTTGCTATAATAACTTTATAAATAAATTACGTTGAGTGAATTTATTGATACTAAATAAATATGAGTGACTTTAATAAATAATTTGATATAATTGAATGACCATAAAAGTTATTCATATAAATATATATAAATTAATCTAAACACCTCAAAATATGATAATTAATGTTGTTTTGTGGATTTTCACTGGCAAATCAAGAAGTTTCCACATTCTATTAGAGTAAATTTGTTTGTCAAATTGAGAACTCAATTTGAACTTGAACTTGGAAAAGAAATCCAAGTCCAATTTGTAGTTTCAATGTAGTTCAAGGGAAGTTTCTCATATCATCAACTTATCCATTTTCACCCCGAATGGATTCTTCAATGTGCAATTCAAATTTAATCGAAGCTCCAATGTGGGCTCCGAACACCAGATGGGAAACAAAAAAAAACTTATCCATTTGACTCTTACAAAATAAAAATAAGACAATGTATATATCTATTTAAACACCATTTTAACTTTCGGAAATAGTTTATTTCATTCAATATAATTTCCACCTTTTACTTAAGAAAATGCAAAATCCTTGCAAGATTGATGGTCTTCGGACATAGCAGCTACAAGTTTCTATTTTTGTTTCCTTTTAATGGCTGTTTTTTCTTTTTATTTGCTTTTGATTTGGGATGTTGTTTTGGCTTCTTGAACCTTTGGTGTCAAGAGTATTTATTATTTTATAGATAAAATATCCACTATGTATAGTGGTTCCCAAATAAATAAATAAATGTGTAAATGACTTTCTTTTCATTTTCTTTCAACTCATGGATCTTTTAGACAATAGTTTGAATTTCTTTTTTGAACAAAATGACAGTCTTAATAGAAAAAGGGGAATTTTAGCAAATAGCCACTATTATAAATTTAATTATGCTTCATAGTTATAGTTTGCATATTTACGGGTTATAGCTACAGTTTAAGCTATTCCGTTTGTATAATTTGCAAATACGTTTGTATAATTGAGTTATTTTTTATAAACTCGAAATAACGAATTTATACAAATACAAACATCTGAACTTTAAACAATCGTACAAATTATGTTATACAAAATTACATTATACAAAAGTTATACAAATTATATATATACAAATATGCGAATTATACAATATTCCTCGAAATCCCAACCCACGTAATTATCACTAAATGCTGGTCGCGAGTGGTAATTAACTAAAACTATAGCAATGATGACTAATTAACTAATATATATTTGTTTAACCATGTAATTTTCCCTATAAAAAACTTTATATCGTTCGGAAGGATAATTTTCGGGAAAAATTGTATGAAATAACAAACTATTAATTCAAATTAAATGATATAGCCATAGTTTCTTTTATTTGTAATTCGTAGCAAACATCCCATGTTTTTTTCCATCTCATTTGTATACCGAAATATACAAATAAACCTATTCGGTATACTTATGTGTTGTATAAAAATTAATTGCATGACCCATTTGTATACCGAATATACAAATAGACCCATTCGGTATACATATGTGTTGTATAAAAATTAATTGCAGGACCCATTTGTATACCGAAATATACAAATATACCCATTCGGTATACATATATGTTGTATATATGTAGTAATTTTGTTTATATACAATTACTATGTTTTAATTTGTATACCAAAATATACAAAGATTTTTATGTATATGTATTCCGAAATATACAGATTAATAGTCATAGTAATCATAAAATTTGTTATGGAGCGCAATTATACAAACTATAGTTATAACATATAAATATAATTTTTCTATTTGCTAAACCTAAAATTTACTCTAATTTTCGAGAGTTATATTCACACTAACTTTAAAAATAGGGACAAATTTAAAATGAAAACCTTAAAGGGATATTTGTGTAAACCAATAATTAGTATCGAAACTTATTTGGCCTTTTTTCCGGTAATGCCAAAGGGATAACTAAACTTTGGGCTTTGAAGGGCCTTCCAATTATCCACAAACGAAATAAACCAAACTCCCGCCAAAACATGAAACCGGATATACCCTGTAGCTCCAAGATTAACCGGTCATCAAATCAAAGATTAGGCCATTTCTACTTTCCCCTTCACAAAACTGAGCTGCTTCGTCTCTCTCTTTTTTGTATTTGCCTCCATATTGTTCCTTTCTCTCGCAATTTTTCAGTTTTATCACTTCGAATAATTTCATGTAAGTTTCGAAATCTCTCTAACTTTCTCTTCTCCAAATCTTATGGCGAGAATTATCACATAGTAAACTTTATCACTTATAAAAAAAATTATCTTGTGTCTTTCAATTTGTTTATCTTATTCCTTTTTTAAGATTATTTCAAAACATTAAAGAATATTTTCTCTTTTCACCTTCTCTCACATAAGATTATTATTTCATCTAAGTATATAAAAAGACGATTAAACACTTCATATATAAAATTTTGGACAAATAGATATTAAAAGATAGGCAAAAGTTTTGGCGAGGATTAAAAGGGAAATTTACATAAATATACTAATTAAAAAAATATTTATCATTTATAGCAATCACATATTTTTCACTTGATCATTTTTAATACATTTATAATATAGTTTTAATATTTACAGAGAATAATTTATAAAACACACATAATACAAGTTTTATTAAACATATATAATACAAATTTTATTGATAAATAATACATTTATCACATATTTTTATACAATGTGTTAATTTCTTACCAAACGTAATATATTTTTAAAACAATTATAATACATATATATTGCATACATAATTCACTTTAATAAATATTGCAGATTTATTATAATATTGTTATGTATTGCTATAAATGGTAATAAATAAAAAATATTGCTAAAATCAGTAATTATTTATTAAAAGGTACTCATCCAAGTAATTTTTTTGGATTAAAATACACCAATACTGCAAACATAAGAGACTATTAGTGCTCCATAATGAAAATTTATGGATGACTTTGAGTCTTAAGCCAAAATAGTTCATTATCTTTAGGTTAAGACTCAAAGTCATCCTTGTTGTTTTATATGGAGCACTAATAGTCCCTTGTGTTTGTAATATTAGTGTACTTTTTGTCTCTCTGTTTAAGACCAAAAGATTAAAAAAAAATTTAGCATATATCTTTTTAAAATTTTGTCTCAAATCGAAATTGGACAAAATACTTTTATCTTAAAAATAATTTTAAATATATTAACAATTTTATCTCTTTAAAAACTAGAATAGTAAACTTTAAATATATATATATATCGCAAATTATTTGTTTGTCCCCGACTATTGACAGTTTCAAAAACATCCGTGTACTTGACTAACAAAACTTAGATACACCTTGATTTGTCACATGATATAACAAGTTGTCTCAAACTCTTAAATCTTAATAAAAAAATCAAGAGACGTGTTGAAAAAGCACTCCTAAACTTGACGAGAATTTAGGAGTGTATTTATACAATACAATATGATACATAAAGTCGTCAAAATGGGCTTAGCCCATGGGGCCGACCCAACACAACCCGTTATTAGGGTAGGGTTGAGATATACCTCAAGCACATTTGAAACTAGGGCTTACAAGCCCTTGGTCCTTGAGGCTTGATCGGGGTCGGCCTATAGGCCAAAACTTTTTATTTAAGGGTAACTTACAATAAGCTCACTAGTATAAAATCTAATTACTTAAATACACGCTATGTTGTAATATTATGAACCATACCAAATTTTGGTATGTCCAGATACATGTATCTCGGAATATATGGAGTCAAAATTAGGTTAATCTTTCTAGATACACTCTATTCAAGTAGATTCACATGTATCTATGATGCATAGACAAATCTCGTGCCCTCACCTCCATCCAATCTTGCTTGTCACTCTCTTATCTCGCTCACGTATCTGGTATGAGAGATACATGCTTATTACACTAGACTTTTTGCTAGTGTTATTAAAACAACACCATTGTTGCCATATTTGATTTGAAAATCTTCTCGTTTTCTTGATGTTATAGAATTATAAGTTTGAAAAGAAAAAAAAAGGACTAGCCCGCCCCAACCCTCGGCCCTTCTAGGTTTGGGTTGGGCATTTTCAGTCCCTTCTGAATGAAGGGTCAGCCCACCCCAGCCCTTCAAATTTCTTAGCTTGCAAGGTTTGGGCCGAATGGGGCTGGACCGATCCTTTTAGACAGCTCTAACGATACATTATCAAATAACATGTAACAATCATCTCAACAAAGTAAAAGAGGTGTATTTATGTATACAATACAATATATTATGAAATAATACGTAATAACCATCCAAACAAAGGTTCAAATATGAAATTAATAATAAAGAATTATTTATTTTTATTTTTTACCCTCCCTAGGAGCTCCCACCACTTTTGCTCCTTGGTGACTCAAACTCGCAACCTTCGGGTTGAAAGTGAGGGGTGCTTACCGTCCGAGCAACTCCCTCTCGTCATGAAATTAATAATTCACGCCAAATTTAAAAATATTTTTGATATTTTTTTTCTAAAAAATTTATAATTTAAAACTTAATATTTATTTTTAACTTTAGACCACTAATTAACTTGAGCTCAGCCGCTGGAATAACGCAATCATGAGTGCTGTGAATGTTACAAACATCACCGTGCTAAATAATCCATCGTCGTTCCTTTCGCCACTGAAGTTTGAAATCACTTATGACTGCGTTAATGCTCTCAAAGAAGGTGACTTAATCTCTCTTACTTCATTTTTTCTGTTGTAATCCATCTGTATTAGTATAATTTTTCTTTTTTTTTTTCTTTGATTATATCCTCTCGGAGATATGGTTAGGGTTTTGTTTAGTCATATACGAAAGTTGTTTACAATGTCTTTAATTCGTTGATAATTAATCATCAATGAATTGTTTACTATCTATCGAACTTTTTTTCATAAATCCTTTTGTGCTATAATTTACTCCTGTTTGTGCTTGTATCATCTCGAAGACCTAGTGGCTAGTTATTGCCTTTTGTATTCAGAAATTTGACTCTCAATTTTGTTAGAGTACAATGTTATCGACTCTGTTGATAATTGAAAGAAATTAATTGTTTCTAGGTAAATATAGCAGAGAATGGAGAACTTTAGATTTGTACATCCGAGATTTCTGTTTTTCTAATATTCCAAAAGTAGATATGAAATGGTTATTGTGCCTATAGTGTGTTAATTTTTTTTACTTTATTGGAGAGCTTGTAAAGGATTCCTGATATATATGATTAATGCAGTTCTATTTCTGACTTATATTAACGAGATAACGTTTAATTAAGCTAGTTGTCTTCATATATCATAGCTATCTGTCCAATGGACCTTAGAGCTTTTTTGCGCTTTTCGCCTTTAATAACTTTGATCATTAGTGCCACAATCAGTAAAACATTAGGAATCTCTGAGGAAACTTCGCATTACTCATGGAATGGAAGTGGGCGTGGTGTAAGTATTTTTTTTTCAGGTTATTAATCAGTAGCCAGTTGGATAGAGGAACACATGTGCCAGTGGCCGATGTAGATCTTAGGAAACAGGTTCATTTTAACCCAGTTTTTCGATGCGGAGCGCCAACTCACATAGAAAACTCACTAATATCTCACCAAAATAGATTTGAACCCAACCCATAGTTCAGAAGTATAATGATAAGTTCGAAGAAACCTTAAAGGTCTAACATATCAAGTTTAAATCATGGATCCACCTCTACACTGTGCTGTAGATTTCCTGAAGGTCATGGTTTCATGAATTTTACTAGACATACATGCTAAATTATTACTAGAACAGATATAAAATGTATTACATGATATCAGGATGTTTCCTCTTCCATTTCCCATAAGGTTGCACCATAATCTTACGCCTCACTTTCCATGGATCCTTACGGTTGCTGAATAAAGCAGTTCCTTAAACCAATTAATTGAAAGTTTTCTGTGCAGTTCAGTTATCTAAGTCATATGTTGTAGAATATTGTCCACATTTTGATTTCTGAAGCATGTGCTGCTTCTTGCGTGCCTCTGCATTTTATTTTGTTTGCAATTACTCCCTATTGCTAGATGATCTAATTTATACCATTTACATGTAACACAAAAGCAGTTTGAAGTTGGTTTAAGGTGAGGGTAGTGGTGTCAGTGTTGTTAGTTCTAGCACCAGCCTGAAGAAAGCCCAACTTTATAGTTCAGATTTCACGTTGAGAATGTTAGATATAAACTACTATTTTCATAAAAATATTTCATGATCTATTGCGAGAGTACTTACAATACTACTAATGGTGAAAAACTCTTGACAAAATGTTTAGTACCATGTGACATCTGTTATTGTAATAGCATCCTATGCTCCTCTTTCGTTTCTGCAGGGTAAAACATAGAATTAATGAACTTATCTCTGTAGTTTCTCTTTGGTCATGTGTCTTAACTATATAGATTCTTTAGGATGTTGGCTTTGGAAGGGAATGTACTTAATAGTTTAGCAATTGGTAGGGAAACTTCTATTCCACCTGAACTGCTTACTGATTCTAAATTTTCTAGAGGCGAGGTTTTCTCAATTAACTGTCATATTTGTTGACAATATGAATACTTCTGTGAGTTTTGAGAAGTAACTGGAAAAAAATCCTTCTTCATTTATTCTTCTTCAAGGACACTTTATTTATGGCATACAAAAGATTGTTTCGAGGAACAGAGTTAACTGCTATTATGGAGTTTTTATTTCATATGCATACCTTGGAAATTCAGATTGTTTCTTTCATGTGGTATGGCACAATTTGAATGAAATTCAGATCCAATGACTACCCCAATGAATTTTGAGGCCTTAAGTGGTAATTGTGTAATCCCTAATGGCGACTTGCTAAAAAAAAGGTAGTATTTTTTTGTTCATTTTCTCTTTTTTGGGACTGAAATTCTAGAGAATCATCTTTGAACTGTAAATCCTTTCCCAGTAAAGATACATAGGTCCATTCTTTGACAGTCACACAGAAATGCTCCCATCAAATTGACCTTTTTTCTGCGAGACGTTGTTCTAGAGTGTATCTAAATTTAAGCAACTAAAGACATGTTGCTCTTTTCTTTTCAAATAGGTAGTATTTATATGTTTGTTAATTTAACAGCTTTACTTAGTTTCTTTTGCCTTAATGTGCATGTAGATTTGGAATGGAAACTCATCTATGTTGGATCTGCTGAGGATGATACATATGACCAACTACTAGAAAGTGTGTTTGTTGGTCCTGTCAATGTTGGAGGTTTCCGCTTTGTACTGCAGGTATCATGTCGTGGCTTGACAAGTTAATTAAGTTTTACTAGGTCTAATGCCTTTCTGCTGATTGGATTTGTGTAATGTTTTCCTTGTTCTATTACTAGGCGGACCCTCCAGATCCTGCCCAAATTCGTGCTGAAGATATACTTGGTGTCACTGTGCTCCTTTTGACCTGTTCCTATATGGGTCAAGAATTTGTACGAATTGGCTACTATGTGAACAATGATTACAATGATGAGAATTTGAGACAACAACCTCCCCAAACGGTTAAAATTGACATGCTTCAAAGGAACATACTAACAGACAAACCTAGAGTAACAAAGTTCCCTATCAATTTTCACCCCGAAAACAGCGAGACTGGAGAGCAAGGTGCTGCCCCTCCACCTGATGATAACACGGCTAAAGCAGATGGGAATGAAGAGTGACTACCTTCAACTAAGAATGGATCAGATGAAGGGTGGGGCCTAACTGTGGAAGGATGTTAACTTTTTGCCTAACTCCTAATCTTTTAGTTTAACATCATTCTGTTGGGCCATCATCTCATCCTAAATCCTAATACATGATCATTAACCTCTTTTTGTGGTGTCTTCGTCTTTCTCAGTGGAGCTATGTGAAACTGCGTATGAACACGCGTTGCATTTTGTGGCTCTTAACATGGTTGTTTGGAGGAATGGTGTCGAAACCTCTGCTTTATATGGCACCATCTTTAGCTTTACAGTGTACTCCAAAATGTGAGTTTAGAAAATCGTTGATTTTAGTTCTGTAAGTAATAGAATCGTGAGGTTTTAAACAGGCAGGGAATATTTTATGCATTTATCAAATTTTTGGCTACTGAATCACATTATGTTGATGGTGTCAATTTATGATGAACTGCACCATTTATGGTGCCGTTACATTTTCTTTTATTTTGATGTATGCTGGTCATCTGCACACTGATACAAATTAGAACCATTTTCCTTACTGATGTATACTCAGTTTGCTTACTGATACAAATTAGAAGCAAGATATTGCCAAATCACAACAGCATGAGCATATGGTAATATGATGGTTTCCATTGCACTCTCAGCCACTTCGAAAATATTATGGCTCTTGCATGATTTTGAAGGCAATGAAAGAGGTAGTCTAGCAGAATTCCTCAAATTCTACAAGCAAATCTCACGTGATACACCCAACAAACAAAAAATCTAACCAATAACACAGCAAGCATACCTTCAAAGGTAAGCAGTAGAAGAAAGGTTTATAGTTTGTCCTTGCAGAAATAAAAAAAAAAGGGGAGCGGGTTGTTTCTGTCAATGTAGTCTGAACATCTTCACAGAAATATAATTTTTTACAGAACAGATTTGCCAAAAGGTTTTGAAATGCATGTCATATCTTTGTCATGCACTAACTAGTAAAACAAAGCTTTAGATCCAACATCCAAGTACAAAATTGCTCTCTCAGATCAAAACTTTAAAAAAGGAATGTGATATTTTGGATGACACCGTTGGGCAAACACAACTAATTCCAGCCCCTATCAGACATGTAGTTCCTTTTGCTTCTAATTTCTCGTAGAAAAGATTCCTGCTCAATGCATATAAGCGAGATCTAACTATGTTCTTCACTTGTTTTTCTGCCTCTTCCTGGAACGGTTCCTTCTCGACTCTACAGTATTCTCCACAGGCAAAAAGTTTTCCTTATTCTGCAGTAAATTTAAAATTCTTATTTGACTTAACGAGGTATTATACGAGTAAACATGGGCTATCAGGACCAGAACTTAGCATGTACCTTATACTTCTTCTCCCTGAGTTGCCTCTTCAGTCCTTTGCTTTTCTTCTTTGATGCTGAAGGATTCTATTATCATTCATAATTTATGATTGTAAGCAACTTATGATGATATCAGGCTTTTTCACTAAGTCAAAAAAATTCTTCATGCAGTCAAATGAAAATGGACAAACCTGTTCTCTAACTGGGCTATCCTCCGCCTCAGGATGAATTTCTCCCTCAATTCTTCCGTCTTCATTAAGCATAAGTTTAAGCCTCCCTTCTTTCAACAGCTTTATAGAGCGGGCATGCCTCTGTAAGAAATACGGATACTTAGGTTAGATCAGTCACAGCAGGTCCAAATCATGTGCATAAGTTAACATGCATTTAAGATTCTTTAACATGGAAAGAACAAGATTGCAGGTAGCAGTCCATGCACTAGTAACGGGGATGTGTTAGCACTACAAAATTTATGTGGAATATGATCTGAAGAAGTAAGTTTAGTGACAACTGGAAAATGAAAACAATGACGCTGAATGCTTACTTTGGATTTAAGGTGAGCAATTAGAGTCTGAACAGTCAAGCAGACGATTCTAGGACACAGCCTGCACTTATAAACTGATTTACATTTCAAGACATAATCTGAAGCATCACTTGGAATTTCATCCTCTTCGGGAATAGAACTATTCTGCATAATATCTGATTCTGCAATGACCTTTTCAGACAAATAACTTTCACCATCAAACTTGTTGTCCTTTAGAGTTGTAACATCTTCATCACTCATAGGAAGACCTATCAGTGGTAATTTTAGAGAAGACTTAGAATTAAACACTTAGCCTAACATATAAATTACGATAAGAAAATCATAGTTCAAAAAGATCTTTCAGTTTCCATCTTGAAATACCAGCAAAAATAGTTCTCATCAGTTTTAAAAAGTGTATTGGCATTCAAATAAACATCAAGAAATCTAAAATTATGTTTCCATTATTAAATTCATCGACGTGATAGTTATAATAATTACCAGATGCCACAACGATGTGCAGAAGATACTAAATAAAATATGAATGCAGTCTTCCCAAAATTAGTCAACAATAAGCCTTAAAACTCCAGAGGGAGAGAATGGCTACGATGAACACTAAAGCCAAATCTTTAAGATATGATCATCTCTCCATGAAGAATTATCAATCAAAAGAAAAGAACTGACATCTCTGATTTCATGGAATTTCCAATACATAAATTGAGCAGAAAGTTCAAGTTCCATATTACAACTCAAAAGCTGTAGCTTCCAGACTAGTAATAAATTAGTAGGGCTGCAGCTCCCAATAAGTTAGACATATAGCATCGAACTTCACTTCATTTCTTCTTTTCCTCAAATGGAGTGACGGAATTTCACCTTACTCCTTGGCTAGATGTAAATCCACGTTCACAGTGTAATGTGTCAAATTGTTAATCTTCCTCAATCAAATGATTACCCGATTAATAAACAGTAAGCGTTTGGAAGCAGTGTATACAAAGTTAATCCTACAAATAAGGAATGGGGAAATATGGCAGCTTCCATTTTTATTCTTTATAAATATACCTTCCTTGTATGTGGATTAGTGCCAACACAAATACTTATAGTATACAGAAGTAGGATTTTCAAGCAGAAAACTCCCATGAGATTCAACTAGCGAAAATTTGTGACAACAGACTAAAGCCAACCTGATGAGTTAAGATTAACTTCATTGAAAGAGCTATCTTCACTCTCATATCCTGCAGCAAATGAAAACGAGGAGGAGAAAATCTGTTATCTACCATGAGGATAGTGATTGAATTATGGAGTGGCCCAACACCCAAACTCCATTGGAATCCACTTTTCAATGCATGTCGACAATTTATAATTCAACATCCTCCCACACGTAACCCAATTTTGATGCTCACAAGTAAACCTCAATGTAGATTTATGGGTGCGAGAATGGGCTTTGTGGGAAAATTTATAACTTAATAGAGACTGTAACTTAGGCGTGCTGATAGCTTTTAAAATCAAGAATTGTCTAAAGATACCCGACAAAGTTTCCCTAATCAAGATATCAAACAAAAGCTTCAGAGAATTCCCATTTCTTGAAATACCCTCTAAGTAATAAACTGTCAGCAAACAATACAGACAAGGAGCAACTGCAGATCATCAGGTTAAACATACCCGAAGAAGATTCATTTCCTCCTGTCAGATGAGCAACACCATCATCCTCTTCCTTTACTTCATTGTCATCCTGCTCTTCCTCTTCCTCCTCCTCCTCTTCGTCTTCTGTTTCCTCTGCCTCAAATTCAGAGTCGGAGGATGACGAGGACTGCGAAGGAGCATCTCTATCACCATGTTCAAGCTTGTAAAATCGCCTTTTTATCATTTTCTTCCACCTTTTATAACTCAACTGCAAGTAATACAGAGAAATCCATGAACCTAGCATACATAGTCTATTATTTTGCTACAAAAAGATACATTCTTTTTCCTTTTTCTTTTGACCTATAGAAAGAAAACACCTACTGAATTAGATATGCAAAATTAGAGACACAAGCGATTTGGCCAACCTTATCATTCATTTACTCCAAATTGAAAAAATAGAACAACATCCCTACTACTAATCAATTGTCCTTAATCACAAACTAGTTGGAGTTGACAATAGTAACTTTTGATACAAGAGAATAATCAGAATATAGAGAAATTCATGAATACAACCATAAAGTCGATTACTTTGCTTTACAACAACATGTCTAGTGAAATTCCACTAAGTGAGGTCTGGGGAAGGTAGAATATACGTAGACCTTACCACTACCTCAAGGAGGTAGATAGACTGTTTCCGAAAGACGCTCTGCTCAAGTGCATCAAACCGTAGTCAAGAAAGAAGAAAACAATGAATAAAGCATAGTAGTTAATAAGAAAAACAGTGTAAAGTCTACAAGAAGAAAAAAAACAATACCTACATATGGCAAGAACTACAAGGGTAGTACGAGTAGTACTACGATAGGCACTAACAAGCCTAAACTTTCACAAGACTAGACAAAACTCTACCCTTACTAAGCTTGTACCCTAATACACAACCTCCACTTTGCTTTACAAACAAGAAATAAAGAAACCTTTTCTTTCTCAAGGCCTTTCCTTTTAACCCCTATAATATGAAATTATGCTAAAGCCCCATCATTGATTTACTCCAAATTAGAAAAAGCGCAACCGTACCAGTAATCAATTAGGAGTTGGGGTTGGGGTATATTAATTCTTTGTGACAATTAAAACCCTCTTTTTTAATCTAAACTTGAAACTAACTATGGTCGGAGTTAAAACAGCTTCTAGGCTACAGCAACCAAATATGATTATATGATTTGCTACAAAATCAAGAAAGTAGTGGGTGGAATTATATGATGGACATACTCAGTCGAATGTATATAGAAAAGGGTTTAATGTTATGGACATGATAGAGCAATTAAAGGAAGAAGAAAGAGTAAAAAAAAACGAACCTGAAAAACAGAAAGAGGTGACTGCAATGGAGGCAGGCAGGGTTTAGCACTTACGGAGGAGGGTTTTGGTTGGACATAGAAATTAGATTAGTACCCATATACCACATGTCGTGTTTTAATTGGGTGTATACTACCTTCTTCATTTTTTTCTTAAAAAGATAAAAAATAAAAATTTGTTGCTCCTTTTTTTTTTAAAGTATTTTTTTTGCTCTTCTAATTGCTGCTCTTTCTTTTTTTTAAAAAATAAAATAAAATTAGTGTTTTCCCTTCCAAATTGCTTACACAAATTCCTGTTTTTTCTACTAGTAACACATCTGGAAATTACATATTCCATGTTTCACGACAATCAAAATACAGG